TCTTCTTCTATTAGCCAAAATTCCTTTTCAAACCAGAGACTGGGGAAAGGAAATCAAAAAATACTTTGGGACAAATGAAAATGAAAACACAACCATTCAAAACCTCTGGGACACAGCAAAAGCGGTTCTAAGAGGGAAGTTTATAGCAATACAAGCTATGAAGCTGCTTCTCAGGAAACAAGAAAAATCTCCAACCGAAGATTAGGAAGAACCCCAATCAATTTTCTAAGAGATTAAAAACAAAAACAAAAACAAAAATACCACAACCACATAGCAGCATTCCATCTGAGTATCCTTCCAACACGACTCACTCCCACTTTGTTTCATAAGTTAAAAAAAAAAAAAAGCTACACTATACCCAGATGCTTCTCATTATGCCAAGCAAAGTGAACGAGAAATAATTCCTAACAGAAAACAAATGATTAAAAATTTGTTAAAATAGTTTTACTATACACAGCAATTAATTTCAAAAATCCAAACAGTGTATTACTACTTACTATATGGACAGTGAAAACTTTTAGAATTTCTAAAGTGGAAATACTTGGGGAAAGTACAGAAATGCATTAACTTCTTTTTTTCAAATGCATAAACTTTTCTTGACATAACTCTATAATTCAAAATTATGAGACTGACGCGCTGCCTGCTGTGCTAAGAAGGCACTAATTCAAAACTAAATTTGCAATAGAAATGCTCTTAAATTGGCCCCAGAAAAAATTAATCCTCTCTTAACACTTAAAAGATTCTTCCTTTTCAAAAACTAAGCTAAAATGCATTAAACTTTCTCCCTCACCCTTTATTTTTTATATTGCTCAGGCAAAATAAAATGCATTAACTTTTGAAATTAAAATGCTGAACAAGAATCTCATTGTCCTAACCTCACAGCACACAGTCATTATAACCTGCAGGGTAAGGAAGTCAATGGACCACACAGTCTGAGCTAAGGAAAGCAGGAAGGGAGCACAGTACAAATCTAACTGTCCAAGTTCAAATGTTGGCTTGCTGGGACCTGGGGCTAATTATTAACCTACCTGTGCCTTATTTCTCACCTAACTCATAGGGTGCTAAGAGAAATGAATACATGTGAAATGAAGTATGAATACAGTGATCATGCTCAATAAATAACTATTTTGCTTTGACAATAATACATCTTGCATTTTCTGTTAAGTTGTATAAATCCTGTGGAAATTTAGAATTTTGGCAGAAGAACACTTACTTCGTCTCTAAAGCTACCTTTAACTTACACAGCTGATACTGAGGAGAAAATATTCTAGTTGTCAGGTGCTAAGAGTAACTTCAAAAGTGGAGCTTCAAAGAGTTGAGGACCAAGATAAAAGAGTACAATGTTTCTGAAGAGTTGGACTTTAGCCCTGCTCTTTCTCAGCTGAGGTAAGTATTTATAGAACTTCCTACACTGCTCTTACTACATTATCATCAACCCATCTTCTCTCTAAGAATTTTCTCCTCTCTGTATTTGGAGAGCAGTCATGGGAAACGGTGGTCTCCAGTGGGAGAGTCAACTAGTCCAACTTCATTCCTTTAAATTAAACCGCCCAGACAAGGCTCTTTCACTTCTCCGCCCAGACAAGGCTCATGAGTCTTCCTGCTGAACGTTTTGTTTTTCCACTTAGCAAACACACATGTATTGTGTATAATACTCACTTTGCAATTAGAAAAGTAAGAAATAGTTTTAAATGATACAATCTTAAAATTATAAAGTTCACTTTTGAGAAGGGAAAAAATGCATTTAAAGGAAAAAACAATACATAGCAATTACTCAAATGAGAAATTTATAGGAAACTGAGTCATTCTTTAATGTCAAATTTACTGAGGACATTTATTAGATTCTGTTTATCTAATTAATGCAATAGTGAATTCCAAAGACAGCCATAAAATTAGTCTAAAAATGCAAAATGGAAAT